GAGGCCCGGGCTGGCAGGCTGGGGGAAACAGTTCAGAGGTTTCAGGTTTTAGTTATTAAAAAAAAATATTTGATTAATTGTTTAATGCCAAGTTCCCATCCTTCTGCTAACATGCATTTATGACTGTAGAGTCCAGGGCACTTAGAGTCTGCTTCCTTTTGATGGCTCTAGGGGAGATAATTATTTTGCAGTAGGAAGTAACAGGAAAATTCTGTTTAGTTCAATAAGGAACTTAAATGAGGGGCATCAAAGCAGAGATGTGCACTGGGAACACAGGGTGTGTTTTACTGTTCCAGAAAAACAGCTCAAACAGTGACTTCACTGTGTCAAAACCATCACTGATGTCTTTTCTTGGAATTCCTGTGTTTGCCCCCAGTTCATACAGTGTTCAGAAAGCCATCAGCCAAGTAAAGTTACTCCCAAGTTGTTCTTGCAGGACACGATTTCATGGAATCACAGAATATTGGGAGTTGGAAGTGACCTCGAAAGCTCCCCCAGTCCAACCCTTGCCAGAGCAGGATCACCCAGACCAGGTCACATAGGAAGGCGTCCAGGCGGGTCCTGAATGTCTCCAGAGAAGGAGACTCCACAACCTCTCTGGGCAGCCTGTTCAGTGCTCTGGCACCTTCACAATGAAAAAGTTTTTCCTTATATTTATGTGGAACAGTTTCTCACCAAAGGGCAGTGGTTCCCCACAAAATGCAAACGAGTCCAGCGCGTTCTTGCTGGGCTGCTGAGTTTCATGCGTGTGTTCTTTCTTCACTTGGAAATGGCATTTTTTCACTTGCTGACCACGTAACAGGATAACAAGTACTAACTAATGTGATATCCAAATGTGATATCCAAGTCTTCGCCTTAAGAAGTCCATAGCGGCAACCAGTTAATGCAGAACTCCAAGATTATGCCTAATGTCATGTACTTCCTATAGTTCAGGGATATAATGTTGCCCACATACACAAAAGCCAGTGCTTTTCAGAATTGAGCCTATGTGTATCATTTATAGCAGGGATCTCATCTGAAGCACTCAGCATGACCAGGATGACACATACCAGGTTAAAAGCTTTCTGTAATGATCTGCAATTTACATTGACTTAGTATGAGATACTAGAAACACTTCCTGAAGTGTTATTTACCCCCAGAATCAGTGGACTTTTGTGCCCAGTCTGTATACAGTTTAACATGATACTCACTAAACAAAATACAGAAACTGAATAGAAGCAGAGGGCCGCTCTTATTTGTTTGATAAGCTGCATCAGTGCCCTTTTTTATTCTTAAAAGGATAAAATAGTTGCTGAACAGTGATATTTTAAGACACTTTTACCTGTTCAGCATCTTCTTCTTTTTCCAGAACACAGGAAAGGACGACAACTTTGATGCCTCCACTGATTCTTTTGAGGCATGTATTGCAGATCTGGGGTCCCATTTTCAGAATTAAGAAAAAAGCACATTCAAATCACTGAAGTTTTGTATTTTAGCACATTTCACAAGAGAGTTTCTAGTGGAGTGCTAATAAGCTTTCTCCTTTGCTGATGCTGAGCATTTAAGAGTTTGCTTCCTGCTGTTGTATAGGATATCATACAAGTCTTGGAGATGGCAGTGCCTGGTGGAAGATGCTCTGTAGTGATTAGAACCACGTAATTCACCTGGCCCTCAACTGTAAAGGTTATGATCAGGTGAAAATTCTGCAAATCTGTAACTGATGTAGCTAACCTTTAGTCTTATTCTTAAGTTTTAATTAACATCAAGCACTTTTCACTGAATATAAGGAATGTTTATGAGTTAATCCTATTGCTTGTTACTAAATGTAAAGTATTTTAAGTCTTGGTACTAAAATAGTGTGATTTACTCTCAGAATTTTGAATTTCAGTTTAATTTCTCTGCAGTTAAAATCCTACAGTGAATATCTTCTCTATGCTGAGTTACTTAACAAATAAATGTAAACATTTTCCCCATTATATTGCATATAAATCCCTAAGAGTTATTTTAAGTTATTTTAAGTACTTTGAGAGAATGGTTTTTATTAACCTCAGTTAACTTGATGCCAACTGCTAGGAAAAAACAGACTTAAAAGTTCTTTTCAAATAGCAGAGGCTTTGCCTTGGTGAGCAATATTCTCTGTCTCTAGCGTGTTCTTTGCCATACAGCTTTTCATTGAGGGCAGTAACTTTCTTTTGCTGGAGAAACTGATGGAAGGCCTCTTAGCTGTCACACCTTGTTAGTTTAGCACAGAGGTTTGACGTGGGAATCCCACTTTGAAAGCTTGGCCACTGGATAGTTACTAACTTTATCTTTAAATCCTTCTAGAAAGTGAGCCTGGCAAGTAAGGAGCTGTAGAGTTTGAAAGGTTTAAAAAATATGTACTAGGGCAGTTAGCTTTGACAACAGTTTAATACCAAAGGTGGATGACTGGTAGTGCATTTTTAATCTCAAAAAGGCTTAACCACACACTAAGATTATTGAAGGAGTAGAAGTTACTTCAGTCAAAGGAGTGGAGTCTCCTCTGGAGACATTCAAAACCTGCCTGGCTGTGTTCCTGTGTGACCTGGTCTGGGTGATCCTGCTCTGGCAGAGGGGTTGGACTGGAGGATCTTTTGAGGTCCCTTCCAACTCCTAAGATTCTGTGATTCTGTGAAAGCACAGAAGTGTTAAGCTACAGCAAACTTACTAAATCAAATTTCTTCATAGTATTTTTTTTCATGGAAAGATTTGAACAGAAAGCAGATAAATCCAGAACTTCTCAGAACTCACAGATTTTTCTGCGCTCTTATCAGGCTTCATACATTTTTAAAGAATAGGTAAAATGGTTCACAAACCACATGTTCATCTACCCAAAATACCTTCTGGAAATCACTTTCCTACAAATTGAAATGTATAATTAGTGGAATGCTACCTATTATCCCACAGACACAATTAAAAAGGTGTAACTTAAAATACATAATCATATTTTTTTACCTAATAGTGTTGTCACTTCATATTCTTTTTCTTGCAGCACCTGCCAGTGTTCGTTACGTCCATAATGATGTTGTGGTACCTGACTTCTCTGCCTATCGTCGTCAGGATGTGCTGGATCCCACCGCATCTTCTCAAACCAGCAGCGAAGCTAGAAAAGGGTTTTCCTACCTGCTGACTGCAACAACCTGTGTAGCAACTGCGTATGCTGCTAAGAATGCTGTCACCCAGTTTGTTTCCAGCCTGAGTGCCTCTGCTGATGTGCTAGCATTGTCAAAAATCGAGATCAAGCTATCTGACATTCCAGAAGGCAAGAACATGGCTTTCAAGTGGAGAGGGAAGCCCCTTTTTGTGCGTCACAGAACCCAGGCAGAGATTAATCAGGAAGCTGAAGTCGATTTGTCTCAACTGCGGGATCCGCAGCATGACTTAGACAGAGTAAAGAAACCAGAATGGGTCATATTAGTAGGTGTCTGCACTCACCTTGGTTGTGTGCCCATTGCTAACTCTGGAGATTTTGGCGGTTATTACTGCCCTTGCCATGGCTCCCATTACGATGCCTCTGGCAGAATCAGGAAAGGTCCTGCTCCCCTTAACCTTGAGGTTCCGACTTACCAGTTTGTTGGTGATGATCTAGTGATTGTTGGCTGAGTAATGAGGTGCTTGCTCACTCATGTGTTCCTGTGAATGTACACTCAAAATGGTTAATGGAGATTCTGGAGCACTGTAAAACTGTACTAGCTGTCTAGGCTGTCAACCAGAAGTATGTTCAAATGCTTCACTGTGTTCAGTTTTAATAAAAACTTGGAGTGAGCACTTATTCCTGACTTAAAATAATGTGTATTTATTTGTGTACTGATTTCCAGTGTGTGGTCAAAGAAATAGTACAACAAACCCAGAACATGTTTATGAAGTGCTGCTGTCTCAATAAGTACTGAACTGCAAAGCTGTTGTTTCCTTCATACCACATATTTTCATTATTTATATTTTTTGTTCATTTTTACTTCATTATGGGAAGAAAAAAGATCTTGCTATGAACTTCTAACAGCGTCTCGAGTAAGTTTCAATATAGAATCCTAGGAGACAGTCCTTTTCTTTCCAGTGTATTTTTTGTTTGTTTTCAAAGGAAGTGAAAAGGTAAACAAAAAAACTACCTTGAAAGAAAGCTCTTTTGCATTGTTCAGAAGCAGCTTACAATTCTGTTTACCTAGAATGGTAGCAATGTAATTTTATGATAATGTGAACAAAAAATAAGCATGTCATGTTAGAATTACAAAATATTTTTTTACTTGCAGATAAGGCTTGATCTTACACATATCTAAACATCAGATCAGGTGCTTAGGACACTGGAAAATTTGTGACACTTTTCCAAAAGAAGTGAGAAGGAATTAAAAAGGGAAATCTCCCAAGTTTTACAGAGGGTGAAAAATAGATCATAAGAAGCACTCAGTCTGGACTAATCTCTAATGCTAGACATAGCAAAAGGTTGTGATGCCACCAGAGAGGTTTTAAGACTCAGTGATGTGTGTGAAAATTATCATTTCATATTACCTATAGGCTAAGCTTCATGAAGGCCAAAACTTCGAAAGCTCTCTTACCTTGGTGCTGACTCTGAAGGCATGGAGAAACAAATGCAGCCTGAAAGAGAGCTTTTACCGGTATTGAATCTGCCAGTACAAAACAAAGCTTCAAATCCATTGCCTCCAGTGCACGAGGAGAAACAAGGTTTGCTGTTTCTAGAACAAAGAAACAAACCCAGCCACCAAACTATCTTGCCACTCCTGTTTGCTTTTCACTCTTCACTGCTGCTCTGTGAATGCTGCTGTCTTGCACTGCATTAGTGTGCTCCTGCAGTTGCAAAGCAGAAAATACAATCAGAATTCCCTGGGTCTGAAATGTTTATCCTCATGTATTGTCAAGCTGTGATGACAGCTGGGTTAAAGTTTTAAATGGGATTAATCAGAATATTCATACGTATAGCTCACTTGTTCTCACATAATTAAGTGAAAAAAAGACCATAGAACACTACTACAAAACTTCTCAGGTGTGCATTTTGCACCATTTCATAAAGTTGAACTTTACGCCCTATCACTATATCCACAAAACCGTTCTCAAGAACCTATTTTTGGTGTAATGAATCATACTGAACCAGTACTGAGAGAGATGTTCCCAAACTTGTTTCTAAAATACTGGTATTTGTGTATGTGCCTTGTCTGATCATTCCTCAAATTTTGCATTTCAAGAAAAGAAGCTTAGGAACTCCTGAAGTAGCATTTCAGCATTGCTCATCTGCTCTCAAGTGGCTACACTTGTTTTCTAGCCCACAGGTACACGATTTAGTCCTAACCTTTGTTTACATAATCACTAAGTAACCACGGCACCACTAAATTGCCCCCCTGTAAAACAAGGAATGGCCAGGGCAGTTTGAGGTGACAACTGAACACAGCGAAAGCTGGAGTAGCTCCACTACAGCTGGGCTTATAGAGTCACGCATAAAATGACGTGCACAGAATAAGCTGCTACTTAAATTACAGCAAACTGACTTGATCAGATCTTACCAATCTACAGCTAATGCAGCACCAAAGCTTTGAATGTGTTTGGGCACAAAACAGCAGCTTTTACTGAGATGCCAGCAGTGGCTTTTTTCATCAGACTGATGACAACAGTTGAAGAAGATGAAGTGGTGGTCTTAGCAATGCAGATGTCATAGTCTCCATCCACTCTTCAGTTAAACGAATTGCATTTCTACAGTGGCAAAAAAATCATTCATAATGGGCCAAGTGTCCCTTAGAAAAAAATCAGGATTTACTAGAATTTGAGAAATAAGGTGAAGAGTTAACAGCCTCAAATCTCCAAAACCACTCACAGTTTGATAACACAGGCACAGACACAAATTTAAAAAATATGTAATTTCATTTGAACACATTAAAGCACATTTTTACTGAGAAGGTTGCTGAACATGAATAGATTGCCTGGAGAGGTTGTAGAGTATCCATGGCGATACTCGAATCCAACTGAACAGAGTCCTGAGAAGCCTTGCTTGAGAAAGGGGGTTGGACTAGATCATCTAAACAAGTCCCTTCCAACCTCAGTGATGCTGGGATTCACAAGGAATTATGTCCATTATTGTATTGTCTGGGACAAGAAACCTTAGAAGGCCCAACCTTGCTAAGGGGAAAGCATGACTCAAGTAAGGGTAAGACTCCACACAGTCATGTTTGGTTGCCAGTGATAAGCTCCCAATTTCGTTGTGGGCTAAGATGTCCTTGGAAGGAGCTCTCAGTACTGCCACTAATTACAGACGTTACCACCACACCAATGAGTAACGTTACCCTTTTCATGGCTAGTGTACCCCGTGGGGCTGGAAATGCAAGTGTTCAAATACACAGAAAAATACTGCCATGTTTTCTTAAATCCTGAAGAGTCATTGTATTCTTAAGCAGAAAACACTTGCTGGGCTTTACTACATCTGTATATCCACTTTGACCTCCTCCTCTTCACTCTAACTCTCACCAGGGCTCTGTTCTTAATGACAGAGCCTTTTTGCTTAAACTTCTAGTTAAAACAAAATCCAAACTCAGAGCTTTCACAAATGTAACAGGGCACCTTTCCCCTTCCAAAAATACATGAAGCCCCACTTCTCTCTTCACAACTGGGGTTTCCTCCTATTTGTGTAATACAGCTCTGTGCCCTGTATGGTTTCCTTTCTGAGCAGCAAGATGAAGTCACGCTTCTGTCAGCCCGATGAGCAGTCTGCTTTGACCAGCAAGGCCACCATGACCCGCTGCTGTTGACAGGGTGGCAGGAGCTAAAAGCAAGGACAAGTCTGATGCTGGGACAGGTCTGGCAGGTTGATCAGTGTTCATGGCCTGAGGTTTTTCTATGGCAAAGCTGTAAAGCACAAGCCTGTGCCAGAGAGGAGCTGCCTTGCCTGCCTTTCAGCTGCGCACCTCTCAGATACAAAGCAGCAGCCACGTATCTGTTTCTTCTCAGCTAGCTGCTTTCTCTCCTTTAGAAAAAAACAGTCTATGAAGTTGCTGGACAAAGTTCGTGTTTATTTAATAAAAAAGCTCTTCAGATAAGGGGAATAGAGATATTAAAATTAAGCCATAATTTTCAGTATTTGACATTTCAGAAGTTTTGTCTTCTCTGTATCCCTAGAAGGGGGGCAATATTTTTAATGGTTACTGCTGTCAAAGGAATAATTAGTGCAGAGACTCTAAATGGAAATTCAGAATATTAAGTTATTTTCGTGGCTAATGACATGTGGTTTTTTAACCTCTCTAACTTGTTAGGTCCACTTGTCAGAACTGAAGACAGTTTCTCACACAGCCTCTGTACGGTAATTAATGTTCGTTCTTGGAAACCAAATGAGGCAGTGTCCTCAAAGGCTGTGTTGCCATTCAGGCAGATGAGAAACACCATAGGTCAGTTCCCCAGTTAAAGGGGCGTTCAGTGTCTGAGCAATACGTTTCTCATCAGCAGAAGTGACAAGTGACAGAGCAATAATGACCCTTCTCCAGCCTTGAAAAGGGAAATAGTAAATTTATAGATGGAAGGAAAGACTAGAACTACTGAAGGTTGGGTGTCCTCCATGGATAAGATTTTCTCAGCTATCTATAGAAGATGTTTATTTTACATGTTAATTGCTTTTATTCTTTATATAGCTTGTTATTCAGATGATTCGCACTCTATGATATTTTTTGTTATTTATAGTGTTGGGAAACTCTGGCTGTGATCTGTATTAACTGTGCCAGATTTTCTGCTTTGAAGTAATTTCTTTTCCTTATGTTTCACTAATAGTTTTGAAGAGATGGCTAAACAGAAAATACCTTTCATGTTAATAATACAAGTAATCCTGTCTCTGAAGGACTGCAGCACTTTATGTCCATTGAAGTCTTTCACATTCACTGACTAAGGTGTGTTTTGCAATCAACATGAAAATCAAATTTTATTCTCATCATAACCCTTTCAAAATACGCCTTCTTCACAGCTCAGATCAAAACTGTCTCTTAGTTTGGGAGCCTGGTTTGATGCATTCAGAACCTGGGGGTGGTCAGAGTGGTTCCTCAGACTACAGCACCTGACATACTGAGAATTGAACTCCCACTGATTCAGCTACCATCAGAAATACTCGACAGTCCTGCAAATCATAATCACAGAATCACAGAATCTCAGGAGTTGGAAGGGACCTCGAAAGCTCATCTAGTCCAACCCCCCTGCCAGAGCAGGATCACCCAGACCAGGTCGCACAGGAACATGACCAGGTGGGTCTTGAATGTCTCCAGAGAAGGTAATGATCTTAATGTAAAAGTCTAGAAGAGGAGAGAGAAACACAACGCCCATCCTGCAAACAACTACAGGAACTGCAACATCACACAGGAATCACAGCACAACCAGGGATACCCCTCAGCCTCTGCAGTGTCATTCCAGAGCATCCGTCCTTTCTTTTTCCTGCACCTTTCTGCAACTACAGCAGCAAATGAAGAGGGAACAACTTCCCAGTGTAACTTTTATAAAAAAAAAACCAACCAGTTAGTTGCAAACGTGGTACACTGCACTACACAAATTATTTTACATAATTATGACATTTTAAAACTACTGTAACAATATCAAATATAACAGACATGATTCTTGCAGAAAATATTGAAATATATTTTTTTATGGGAAAGTAAAAGAGATTTATGCACTAAAAGCAGGTGAAGAACATATTCGTGTAATTAGAAGGCTTTACATAACACAGACACAAAATTATATAATGCAAAGCCTACAAGGAAATATTGACTGCAGCATTGCAA